TGTATATTATTATTAAGTTTATAATTTAGAGTAGAGCACGAAGAAGAAAATTGAGAATGATGCATATTAAAAAATTATTATTTCAAGAGTATTTCTATCCAAAATTGTAAGAATTGTTTATTACTTAAGAAATTAGAAGTAATGACATTCTCATCATTTTAACTTAAAAATATTACTGTTTGTAATAAGTTATTATTTAATAATGATTTTTTCCGTGAATCAAATATAAAAATACAGTTTCGGAAAAGATCAATCAAACACTCCTAAGGATACGTTTGGTTCACGGAATGTAAGATTATCAGTGGGAATAAAAGATTACCAGGGAATAGAATTACTGGGAATGTTGTATTTTGTGTTTGGTTGGTTTAGCAGGAATGTAAGATTACTGTGTTTGGTTAAAGTAATAAAAGATTATTGGAATGTATATTTGACCAAATTGTCCTTATATATTTGTTTTTTTAACAAGTTGAAAAATATTATATATTTTCTTTAAAAAATTTAAATTCATAAAATTTATATAATTTTTTTTACAAAATTAAAAATATAAAAAGGTTTAATGAAATAGTAAAATTTTATTTTAACCCTTGAACTTCATAAAAAATTTGTATTATAGTTTTTTTTAAATCTAAAATAATTTAAAGACAAATTTATAATTTAACATTCGTCGAATTTTTATTATTCAATGACAGAATAAATATATTTTTTAAAGAAAAAAATTTAAGTGCATTTTAGTCCAAAATACCGTAATCCAACAATACCTAAGGAAATGGATAATGACATTCCCGGTAATATATCCCAAAAAATTCACTATTGGTAATATAAGATTACTGGGAATAACATTCTTGACCAACCAAACGGTGAATGTGATTTATTCCATGAAATCTAACATTTTCCCAACCAAACACACCCTAAGAAGTTCTTGAATTCTTAACCGGTCGCATCGTACTAATTATCTCATTATTTTAAAAAATATTTGTGTTTAATTACTACCTTGAAAAATGTTCAAGATTCCCCCTACAATGTAAATGTCATTATAGAACACTAGACGCACTCATAAGCTGATTATTGAACAAAGTAGGCTTGGAGCCCAAATGAGCATATGCCTTGAAAAACTGAAACTTTATCGAGAGAAGAATAAAATTTGATTTAATATGTTTTAATTTTAAATTACTTACTTTAGTTTAATTCTTTTAAATTCTAAGTTTGAATTTATAAAATTCCACAAGTTAAATTTTAAATTTTCCATTTTGATCTTTAAGTATACAATTTGATTCTGTGATTTGATTCTCTTCTTTGTTTATTCAATATCTTTATTGTTTTAAGTTTATTTTTTATAAAATTTGAATCACTTTAAAATATAATTAAAATACATTTATAATTCCAATTTAGTTTTCTGTTAACATTTTTTTTTAAATTTAATCTCTCAACTTTATATTCAATTCGGTCCTTCAACTATAACTTTTTACAGTTTCTTTTTTCATAACAATTTCTTAATGCTTTATTCTCAAAATCAATTCTTCTCAAACTAATATCATGGATTTAGTATTATATAATTTTACATGATATTTAATTTATTAAATAGCATTAAAAAATTTATGTATAAAGAATATGAAACAGTGCATTTACATTATATGTATATATATGATTAAAAGAAGTTACTTAAATTAAAATTAATCAATATCATAGTATTATAAACAATTATATTTTGAACTAATATATTCCTCGTAGTTGTCTTCATTTTTTATATTATCATTATATTCTTGTGTATTTTCATTACACTATATATTTTAATTGTATAAATATAAAAAAAAAAACACATGAATCAAGTGATATTAGTAGTTAAGATATAGTTATTATTTATAAAAATTTCAGGTTTGAGAATGACATCTTTTGAGGTATTTTAACATTCAATATTAAATGATTAAAAATCTTTCGAACACATATTATTTTATAATCGGCTAATATTAATTAAAAAAATAAAAAAGGTAAACTACATAGTTGGTCACTAATATTTGAGTAAGTTTTCGTTTTTCACTGAAATTTCAAAAGTAACAAATCGGTCGTTGATGTTGTCGATTAGTTACCAAATGTTCATAACAGTCATTAATAGACGTGAAGGAAAACATAGTTGACGCATTAACTGTTTACATGAACGGCGTTAACTGCTTCGTTATAATAGTGGTCCAGTAACACGTCTACAAGAACATTGAAATATTTAAACTTCAAATGAAGCACATTCTATGATTGAATTCTGCAAGTTCTTTAGCTAATAAAGGTTGGTGTTCTTTGTGGTAGGTTGGTAGCTAGTCTCAGATTACATTAAAAAAAAAAACTTTAGTCCCCTCTACTTTTAATCCCAAATCGATCCAATCCCTGGAACTGAAAATGACATAAAATGCAAGTAAAACACAGCATATAAGGGGGGGGGGAATATTGATCACCGATGAAATATCCACCTACAAAGATAAAAAAAAGATTGTACCTTGGGTGGAAGAACAGTTGCAGTGAGCCTTCTCACATCCCATAGTGTCTACAGGGGCATCTTCTGGTAAGAAATATCAGGAATACATGCTGAGACAAGAGAAGAAGCTATTTGGCTTGGGGTTGTATGTGAAGCTTTGATCCTGTTTCAAGCTTTTGCAGTGAAGTATTGAGGATTCACCCACAGAATTGTCATTGGTGCTGAATATGAGCTCAGCTTGGCAGGACACAATCATCACAATGAAGAAAGGTGGAGCTTCCAATTAGAGCTGCAGAGGGGATAGAGTTTCACGATTCCCCCCCCTTAATTTTTAGGTTTTCAAAGATGTTATACACCATATTTTCTACTTTACCACCAACAAGATTCTCACTTTGTGCAGAGGTACCAGAAGAAAATTGATTTATTAGATCGTAAGATGAGATTCACAAATAAGGTGGAAGTGCAGAAATCTACAAAAATTCCCTTACTGACCATTTCTATAAAAAGTGGAACGGCCTTTGAGATACAATTGTTGAGAAGAAATCCCTAGATCATCAGATTATAGCAGCAGCTACCAAGCAAACAATCATTATAGTATATGTGTAGACATTAGGTTTTAAACCATTGACTGAGAATTCCTGAAATAATTTCTTCGCAGCTTCAATATGCCCAGTTTTACAAAAGCCATCAATTACAATACTCTAAGAGTCAATATTACGTTTCAACTCATAGTTTTCATTCACTCAAGAAGAGATATGAATCAAAAACTCTAATTTAAGTCTAGGGATTGGGTTTTTATTTAAAGGAGAAGATGTGTGTCTCCAATGCGGCGGTCAACCTAATCAACCTCGTCCAAGTAAGTAGTTAATGCACTAACTGTGTTTTCTGTCACGCCTGTTAACACGATTATTACGTTGAGTGATTATTTTGTAACTAATCGATAACCGTAGTGACCAATTTGTTATTTTTAAAACTTCAATGGGGAAAATTTAATCAAATATTAATGAACAAATGTATAGCTTACCCTAAAAAAACTCTAAGTCTGGCAGGAAATCCAACAGTTACAACCTAATCCATTAGCCCAAATACCAACTTAGACCTAGACCACAAAACACTAAACAAATGAACAGGTTTGTGTATTCAAACGGTTAATTTGATCATCGATCGAACTAAATTAATATTTACTGAATTAATAAAAAAAATTGAAAATATTAACCAAACTAAACTTTGTTCGGTTAATTCGGTCGGTGGCCGAATTAACTGAATTTTTTATAATTTCTTTTAATTAGATTAATTTAAGTTTAATAGAGGTATTTTAATTTAAATTAAAATTTAATTAGGTCTTGATAACTTCAAGGGTCTAATGTGATTAAAAAACAATCGAGTCTTAATTTCTAATGGATTTTAGTTTAAAATATGTATTTAATATATATAATATTTCATATTTTTTATTAATTAATCGATTTCGAATCAAACTATTTATTAAACGAAGAATAAAAAATAACCGTTTTTCAAATCAAACTAATTCAATGACCGATTGTTTTAATCGAATTAATTTAATTCGAACGATTAATTCAACTAAAGCTGAAAAAGTAAATCACCCCTTTGAACAAACATCATCGGTTAAGGGACAAAAATACCAACTTACAAGCTAAAAGCCTAATAATACGAAACATGTAACGTGGTAAACAGAACACAATCATGCTTCCTGAACCATGAACCAGTGACAAAACCTATGCCAACCATAAATGTGAACATAAACAATCGAACCAAAGCATAAGCATGATTGTACCATTCATATTGTAAGAACTCAAAATGGAGATATTTTTTTCTTTGATTGGTCCATATAAAGAAGGGAGTAAAATTAAAAGATACAAATATATTTAGGGATGAATATTTAATTTGATTCAATTCTACATAATCCTTATACTATTTTTAAAATTTCGGTTTTGATTTGAGATTTTTTAAAGGATAAGTTCTAGTAGATAGGGGAGTTCAATTGGTTAATTCGGTTAATCGACCGAATAGAATTATCTAAAATCTATTAACCGATTTTTTTTCCTTTAACCGAACCGATTTTTTTTCAAACAAAAATTTAAGCGAACTAAACTAAATTCGGTTAAATGCTCGGTTAATCAAAATTTATAAATAATATATAATATATATTAAATATCTAATATTTTGACTTATTCGATCGGTTAATTCGGTTAAAAATGAAATTTGAAAACCTCTAAAGCTAAATAAAATATAAATAATATATATAATATATTAAACTTTTGATAATTTCGGTTAATTCGATTAATTAACCTCGAACCTAATTAACCATCGAAATTTGAAAAAAATTATTCTTTGCATTTCGGTACAAAAGAAGACTGTTAAATTCATTAAAGATAATCTTAATTCTACAACTTGACATTATCTTTTAATTTTTACGTCATCACCATATTATACAAGTTGGTTTGCATCGAAGAATTCTGATTTTTCATCCTAAGGATTCATATCAACATTTTTTACCTAACTTTCTCAAATATATGATAAATCGAACGGAAACCATGATCCGTTTACAACTACAATGTTCAATTTTCAGTAAACCCGGTAGAAAAAAGAAACCAGCCTTTTGACCAAGACAAACAATTTACAATCCCGGGACAGAACTGTACTCACTGTAAATATCGGCGATCCCGGAAGCTGCCCAGAGCCGCTGATTAAACTCCTCCTGCAACTCATCCGGCACAAACGGTGTCCTACACAGCGGACACGTTACCTGATCATGGTCCATCCAACGATCCAAACACGCCCTATGGAAAACGTGCCTACAGTTCCTCAACCACCTGATCTCTTCCCCTTTTTCGAACTCGTGCAGGCAAACGGCGCAGCTATCCGGCGGATCCCCTTTCACCACCACAAGCTCCTCGTACTTTATAACCGGAAGGACTTCTCGGATCAGGAGGGCGGATACCGGTGGCTTCACGACCGTCGTTCGGGTAGGATTTTCCGGCCATGCGGTGTCCGTTTCGATGAAATCGGAAAGTCCGAGGTAGTTGAAAAGCGAAACGATTAAATACCGGATAAAACCCAGAAATGAAAGTGCGTGAACGACAATTTTTGGCAAGAAGAAAACTTCACTGTAAACAACTGGAAACCCCATGCACAGAAAAAATGAATTAAACAAATAGAACCGGAAATATATACGGAAATCTCAGTTCTGCGTATTTATAAATTGAAAGGAAAAAACGAGAGAGCTCAGAGGAAGAGAGGAGATGAAGCATATGTTATTTTCGGCTACGAAACGAAGTACATATACTAAAAGTCTGACTGATAGAGTCACCGGCTGTGACGTAGATGATCGATTTTTATTGGTTGGTGAGGTAAGGTTCATCAGTGTAGCAGCGAAAGTAGGAGAAAACGATTCGACCGCGTTTCAGGTTAGTCTTTATATTATTGAGGAATCCATGAGAAAATGGCAGCCGTGTCACGTGGCCTAAATGGAAGGAGTGAGGAAGTGAGTGAAACGCGGGGTACACCTAATCACCAATAATATAATAACATTATATGTATAAAGTTCATAAAATAATAGATAAACTACATCAATAAGAATTTTCAAATTTTATAAATTTTTTAATTTATTGGAATATTATAAAACAATTACTTTTATTTTAATATTTTAAGTAATTAATAAAAAAAGATTACTCCATAAGATATTGTTGTTTATCTCATTTGAATATTGAGATACTTACGAAAATTTTAAAAAAATACAATGATTTAATTAATTGGGTAAAGTATACAAATGAGCTCCGACTATATTGTATTGCTTTATTAAGTTTTTTTACTGTTAAAAGTTATAAAATGATCATCCGATTATAGAATGTTACTTTATTAAATTCCTCGACTATTCAACATGTTTCAAACTTGTTCTTTTCCGTTAAAAAATTGGCAATTATCTAAGTTGGACATTAACATGATGACTATATATAATCGTTTAAGATTATAGGATCAGATTTTATCATATCACAGCCAATAAGTTAGCGTTCAGTTCATAAAACCATTATTTTTTAACGAAAAAAGAGCGAGTTTCAAACATAATAAATAGTCAGACGATCATTTTATAACTCTTAATAGACAATGGATTTAATAAAGTAATATCCTATAATCGGGTGACTATATTTATACTTTGTCCTAAATAATTATAGTTAAATATATCGTAAATTATTAAACATTATCAATTAATATTATATTATTTTTTGTTTAAAATTATAAATGTAATCACTATTTAAGATGAGTAGACAGTGAGTGACATTTGGACCACTAACGACACGATATGTATTGAAATGCACTACTAGTACTATTCATTGGTGAAATAAACATCCAACTTATGGTCAATTTCCGTGTACAATTGACTATATTCGAAACATCCAATTGGTTTTTTTTTTATGTATTATTAAATCTACCATGTGTTTTTGAAGGATAGTATTCTTTGTATTCTCCCCACTAATTATTAAACATTAATGTCATGAACAACATGATTTAACTTTAAGCAAACCCCAAAGATGATGTGATGGTAAGCTAATTTAAATTTAAGTCCCTGACATCATTATCGAGGAGAATATCATACGCGTCACACATAAATAATAATTCGATGTTACTCAAGTCATTCTCAATTTTTTAAACTAAGTTTTTTCTTAATATTTTATGTCATATTCTTCTTCTTCTTTTATTTTGTTTAGTCGAGTATGATATCAATCTTAATTTTTATTATTTCTCTTAATTTTTTATACTATATAATTTATTTTCATTTTTTCTTTATTTTTTCTAATTTTGAATAAGAATATATTCTAGTAACATGTATTTTCTCTACTCTTGTAGTATTATTGATGAGTGATTGATTTAGTTATTATTTTATCTTTAATTACTCCTTATTGATTACGTAATGTTGTTGATTTGGGCAATTTTATTCATTTTCTGTACAATACATTAAATTCCAGAAATAGTACTAAACATGAGAAATTTTATGTTTTAATTTTCTAAAGTCAAAGATAGATTAGTGGGCATGACTTTAGACATGATGATGTGTGACGTGACAGCTTTTAGAAAGTCTAGTCACCAACTTCCAGAATGTACAATCAACATTCTAGAAGGACAGGCGGATAATTAAGGTTGAGGTTAAATTTAAATTAAGAATTGTCATTTGTTTTTAAGATGTTATTTGAATATTTTTGTAATTTATCTTTAGTTATTTTTACTCCATTTCTAGGATTTTAGATAGCTATAAATATAAGCTTGAAAAATATTCCAAATTAGTTTTATTCTTTGCTTTCTTTATTTTATAAAATTTTCTTATTTTCTTTTCTTTCGTTTTCACTTATAATTTTTTATTTACTTTCTTTTAAAAAAATGTTAAGTATGATTTCTATCATACTTAGCTAATTTGCTCATAAGTCAAAGGCTGAAGTGATGACTCAATTCCGATCGTGAGAATTAAAAAACACCAAATAACTTCGGGTTAAATTCTAAATTTTCTGTAAACTTGAAATTGGCAATCGACCTTTCCTTTAAAAAATCTTTATGCTTTCAAATTCAAAAAGAGCTCATTAATTTGATTGTTGTTTCGATTTAAAGTTGAGATGAAGAATCGACTGGTAGCAAGTTCTACTTCATGGGAACACACTTAGAGGCGGTCCGCTAAGAGAAATTGAGATCAAACTTGATTCTCATTGAAACAACATAGTCTGAGTCGAGTTTTTTCAAAACTTAAACTTAAATTGGTGTTGACGATGATAGTCATAGTTAATACAATTAAGGACTGAAATCCAAAGATTGATTTTGGATTGTCAGTTTACCAGAGATAAAAACAAATTACAATGGTTGAGCTTTGTAGATTATAATCAATATTAATCCGGAATAAAAATCATTTTCGATGATTAATTGAAATTGAGGCAAAGCGAGACTTGAAGCGATTTTACTTAATTGGATTTCTTTTTAATTTTACTTTCATCAAATTTCTTAGATTTTATTATTTTTTATTCTTATTTACTTTCAACCAAAATCTTCCCATACTTTTTATCTTTATCGCCAAAAATCCAAATAAAAAATCTTCTACATCAAAATTTTCGAAGTCTCTGCGTACCAATCCTTCATTTTTTTACTATGTTTATTAATTTTTCTTTTTAAGATTAAGGATAATTTATTTGACAGTACACGACGTTTGTCAACGATTCTTTTGATTTTTGATACATTTTTACATATATTTGCGGTCGTTTTGATGCTCGCACAAAGATCTTTGACACACTTGTTTTCTGATTGGGTTGTCGTACGTCAAATATAACCAGATCTCATCTTTGGTAAAATGTTGTTTGCCAATATAATCAGAATTGTTTAACAAAACAACATGTCAGATAGTTTAATTCGCTTCTTACTCCTTTATCACTTCGAAAAGTCATCATTTCAAGAGAATATTTTATTTTTCTTCGTATTTTTTATTTAATATTTTTGTTTTTGTTTTATTTATTTTTTGATAATATTGTCTCCATTTTTCTCTCTATACTTAGGTGCGTTATAATTTTAATTTCTACTTTTATTTTTATTAATGAAATCCAGTTTTCATTTTTAAACAAATGTTAATGAACTTAAAGAAAAGTTAGTGGGAATAATAAGGCTTTATCTCTTAAAATGGTAAAATTATATATAATTTTTAAAAATATATAAAATTATAAATTAATACGTAAAAGAATCTCATTTTGATCCTTGAAACTTTTATTGATTGAAATAAATTACTTGTATTATAATTAATGATGTGTGCATTATTTTACAACATACTAATATGCATTATTTTTTATAGAAAGTCGATTATTTTATTAAAAATTAAAAATATCCAGAATCACAATGAAGATTTATAAGCATAACCGTAAATGTAAACTAAATTATAATTAAAATATTTTTCTATAACCATTGACACAAAAACTAGCCACCTAGATCAAACAAGAACCAAAGAAGGAAAAGGTTAAAAAACCTAACCAAAAAGCTCGAATAAAATAAAGATACGATCAAATCCGACTGCATCGGTAAACGAATTACAAAAGGGGAAGAATCTATTGAAAGACCGCAAACCAGAGTCAAGCAACGTGAGAAAACTATTGACGAACACAAAACACGTATCTAAATCAATATGAGGATCTAAATAAGTGAAGATTAGCATGATAACAAATAAGTATCATCTTGATCAGTCATAACGATGTCAAACACAACCCTAAGAAAAAATATAAACGAAAGTAACGGTCAAACAACCAAAAACTACCAAAACGCATAGATAAACATGTCACAAAGACAGTGATAAATGTATTATAAAGACAAACTTGTTCTTATTAAAAAAACTAAAAAAAGAACAAAGAGAAAATACAACCTGCGATCGACAACCAACGTTAAAATCAGTATCGCCTTCAGCTAAACAAAATAAAAAAAAGGTAATTTGATATAAGTAGATGTGCTATAAGCCTATACTATAACACAAATGTGATAATAGTATGGTTCTGTTTGATAGACAATAATTGATTTTTTTGGAAAATAATTTATGTAAAATGGATTACTTGAAAATTATTTTACGTAAAATGAATTACATGAAAACTATTTACGTAAAATGAATTACCTAAATTTGTTTACGTAAAATGAATTACATGTTCTGGAAAATAGTTATCGAAAACTATTTTACGGTGTTTTGATAATATTGTGTAAATCATTTTCACAAATTGTTTGATACAATATAATTAATTTTATAGAAAATGATTTGCGTACAATGAATAAAGTTCTGCTCGGTTAATATTTTTTAAAAAAAATTGATTTGATTAACGATTAAATAAAAAAATTCAGTTAATTTTGTTGGTAATTCAATTAATTAGGTGGCCGAATTAACTATTTAAACACTCTTAATTTTTGTTATTAGTATTTTATTAATATAATACTAAATTATCAAACATTTTATATTATTATATTGTATTCGAGTACATATTAATATAATATTAAAACTATAATATTATTAAAATTATATTATAATAATATCACATATTTTAATAATTAATTTTTATTAAAATTTTATTAAAATATTAAATAAATAAAATAATATATATTTTTTAAATGCTTATATTTTGGAGTGAAAAGTTAAGAAAATATTTTACAAAAAATTAGATGATAGAGTATTTTATATAAAATACAGAGGAACTAGACAAAATGAATTACATTAGAAAAACAATTAAGGCTATAAAATAATAAAAAATATTTTTCCACTATCAAACACACACCCAGATTTGTATTAAATAGAATGACCAACGAGATTTGACTGTTAATTTTTATATATTACAACTACTGACCTTCAAAAGTCGAAAGTGCTCGGTAAGCCCTACTAGCTACTTGTAACACTAATATATCATAAAGCCAGTGGAATTTCAATCTTACAATATTTATGTTTCGATGTCTGACAATTGTAGTTTGGTTTGCTTTGGAGAAACTTCATGAACATCCATCGGCAGTTTCGACCACGCCACGGTGTCTACCGTATTCTTCCTCCGGTGCATGATCGCCGAGAAGCTCAGCAGCAAACATAAAAGCGCAATCAAGGGAAGCAGATTGCCAACAATTCTTCTCGGCCAGCACTTCAAAAGCAGCTAACGTGTGACGAAGAGAATAAATTAAGATGCAAAGAGAGTAACGCAAAAAGGATTGGGCGGAGAGAATAAGACGGACAAGTGTTATGCAGAAGAGAGAATTTTAAATTCATACGAGTGTAAAATGGTTTAGGTTTAGGAGAGTTTGGTTGGTCAACAGATTCATTGAAATGGACTAACATGTGAACCAACACACACGTAGGCTTCCAAAAGCTGTGTTGATTGTTGCCTGTCAACGCCGTGATATGTACAACATATAGAAAAGTAAATGAAAAACAGGCAAACCAGGTGAAATCCCGGTTCCTTGGTGACGGGAACACCGAGCTGCGCCATGCAGGCGTGAACCCGATCATCGGAGCCGTACAATCCCGGTATCTCTGTATACAACGGTCTTGCACTTTCTCTAGTGCTTTAGCCAGGGGGTAGCTGATGGCGAACCCTCCTCCGCCGTAAGCCATCCCGTGGGAGAAATTAATTTTCTGCAAATGACTCTCCGACGAACTGCCGATCTAATAAAACTGATTAAGATCGTATTTAGACAAAACCCGAACCAAATTATCGGGCACAAAGAACGTATCATCGTCTCCCATAACAAACCATCTCACATCTTCCAAGCCCAGCCTTCGAGTTTCCGATACTATGCGGGATATCCTTATAGCAGACCGGTGGCCTTTCGGCGGAGACTATTCTCGGCGGTAAAAGGTGGTCATCGGTTCCGCTTTTAACACCCTTGTCTAACCAGACGACGCCACGCATTTGCCGAGGATTCCGCCACAGTTTGATGTAATTCTTACTTTGATCCCATAACCCAGCCGAGGCCGCAATGCCGATAACTATATGGTGAAGGGTTGTTTTCTCTGTGGAGTTGGGTTTGGGAGATGAAACGGGCGGTGGAGCTATGGATAAGGATTTCTCTCCGCCATTAACAGGAACAACTTTGATGATGTTCGGTTCTTTGTTCCGAGCATCCGAGAAAATTACCGTGTAAAATAAGCAGAGAACGGAAATCAAAAGGAGGGAAGAAAGGACAAGCTTGGGATAAGTCCAGGAAACAGTGAAATGGTTTCTCAAGCTTTGATCGCATGGAAATTTGTCTTCAACCTTTGAGATTGTTTTTCATGGTTGAACCTTGGAGGGTTTTAAAAAAAAAAATCTGAAATTGGATTTTCTGGGTGTTTGTGCCTATGAAAATCTAAGGGCCGATTGTTAGCCGCTTAATAGTACCATTCAGGTTTGTTTTGTACTTTTTAGTGATTTAGTAGTGATTGATTTAATAAAATAGTGATGAATGATTCAATACAGAAATATATTCTGAATCATTCAGAATTATTTATCAAATAACATGTCACATTCAATGTTAAATTATTTAAAGTCTCTAAATCATTCAACGCTTAATGTAAACAAACCGTTCCTAAATCTAGATTCCAAACCCTTAACTCTATCTAAAGGGAACATGGATTTTCCGTATGGAAATCTATGTGCAGAGGAATATTTGAGGTAACATAAACGTTAACAGAGGTATTTTCAGTATATAATTTAATTTTTTAATATCTATATATATATATATATATTATTTTACTAAATTAATTATAATTGTATAAATATGTTTATATTTAATATAGTTGGTTACAAAATAAAATAAAATGACAAAAAATATATAGTTGAATGAAAAAAGAGTCAGTTTTAAAACTATAACTCTCAATTTAAATTAATCCTTAAACTTTTAAATATTCTAATTTTATCCCAAAATTATCTCTCATTCTAAATTAATCCTTAAACTTTTTAACATTCCAATTTCATCTCCAAACTATGAATATCATTCTAAATTAATCCCTAAACTTTTGCATATTCAATTTTATCACCATAGTCATTCAAATATGTAATACATTTTAACCATAGTTTAACCATATAATAATATAACTTGGTCTAACAATTTTATTAACAAGAGATGTTATTAGTATACACGTATAATTTAGGATTAAATTGAAATATTTAAAATGTTTAGGGGCTAATTTAGAATGAAGATAATAATTTGGGGATAAGATTTAATGTTAAAAGTTTAAGGATTAATTTAGAATGATATTCATAGTTCAAGGATGAAATTAGAGTGTTTAAAAATTTAAAGATCAATTTAAAATAAAGATTAGAGATTAAAGATTAAAGATGTACGCTGCAATTAACTCCGAAAATAATCCATAAATGAGTGATGACGAGTAACTTAAAACCCCGATTTATGTTTCCTTTCCACTTTTAGGGTTTCTTCTCTCAATTTTTTTTTTGGTTTGCTTAGCTGAAGTCCTTATCTGCCGCCGCCTGTCGTTAGCAGCTGTTGAAGTATGGCTTTTGTTGCTTCTGCTGCTGCTTCATCAGGTGACATGGCCATGGACAATAAATGTGAGGTGGTATTCATCTCCTATCCTAGCATTGGCAACCTGATTCCTATCGTTGAATTCGCCCGCCACCTAACATGTCACGAATCTCGCTTTTCTGCTACCGTTTTTATAATCACCGTCTACCAAAGAGCCATCCTCAACCTCTACACTCAATCACTGTGGAACGCCGCCTCTCCTTCGGATCGTGTCAAAGTCATCCATCTCCCTACCGTCGTCGAACATCCTACTACTGATCAGTACCAATCTTCTATGGGTTACTTATCCCTCTTCATAGACAAACACAAGCCCCTCGTTAAGCATGCCATCTCCGACCTCCTCTCAACTACTTCGGTCGCTGCTCTCTTTGTTGACATGTTCACCACTTCCATGATCGACGTCGCCAATCAACTTAGCATTCCTTGTTATCTCTTCTTTGCTTCCCCAGCCAGTTTTTTGGGGTTTATGTTCCATTTGCCTGATTTAGACAGACAGCTTGCCGTCGACTTTGTTCAGTCTGACTCGGGACTAATCGTCCCCAAATTCTCGGCTGTTGAGTTGATCGTCCCCAGTTTTGCTAAACCCTTGTCCCCTAGCTTGCTGCCCACCTCGGTGCTAAAGAGAAACAAGGACGGTTATTTCTGGTACTTAGAGCACGCTCGTAGGTACAATGAGACCATGGGCATTGTAGTGAACACGTTTCTCGAACTGGAGCCCCATGCCATTGACTCGATCTCCTTTAATGGGTTTCCCCCGGTTTATCCGGTTGGTCCAATTATTGATCATGCTGGAGCTGCTCAATGGCATCCGGATGGAGCTAAACAGGATTCCATAATGAAATGGCTTGATGATCAGCCTCCATCTTCAGTGGTGTTCCTATGCTTCGGGAGCATGGGGAGTCTTGAGGTATCCCAGTTGAGAGAGATTGCTTTCGGGCTGGAGCATTCCGGGTATCGTTTCTTATGGTCCATTCGCAAGCCACCTGAAGGTAAACTGGATCTCCCAGGGGAGTACACCAATGTAGGGGATGTTTTGCCGTCGGGGTTCTCGGACAGGACAGCCGGGTTGGGGCTCGTGTGCGGGTGGGTTCAGCAAGTGCGAGTATTGAGCCACCAAGCAATCGGAGGATTTGTGTCACACTGTGGGTGGAATTCCATATTGGAGAGCATATGGCACGGTGTTCCTATTGCGACATGGCCGGTATATGCAGAGCAACAAATGAATGCATTTGAGTTAGTGAAAGAGTTGGGATTGGGTGTTGAGATCAGGTTGGATTACAGGGATGGCAGTGATTTGGTGGCGTCCAACGAGTTCGAAAGAGCATTGAGGCATTTGATGGACCGTAAAGATGAAGTGAAGGCAAAGGTAAAGGAAATGAAGATCAAGAGTAGGATGGCATTGATGGAAAATGGTTCCTCATATAAATCTTTAGAATCCTTGATCCAGGAAATCAGCAGTAGAATACAAGGTCTCAAGTGAAATACTGAACAATTTAGTCCCATATCCAAGAAAAGCCTATATGATTCCCAGATGAATACATGGTCCAGCATCATCAGCTCAAGAAATGTGAAATGACTGTTGAACAAACTCAAATTCTATTAAAATAGTATTTTCCATGAGTCGTTTATCAATTTTCGAATCTCAGAAGGGACTGTTGAGTCCTACAACTTATATCGCAGCAAACCAGAGTCACTAGGTACACTTAACAGACGCACATACAAACACATAAATCTCAATCAATTGGGTCTGGGTTGAACTTTACACATTCTCTATGGATGAGTTCCTTAATGTTTTCTTCGGTAATAGATGGTTGCTCGAAATCAAAACTGAATGGCCTTGGGCAAACAGGCTCCACGTTGATGTCGTGAAAAGGTGCCAAGTAAGGGTGGCATAGAGCCTTGTCGACTGCAACAGACGATAAAAGGTTGTTAAGTGAAAATGAAGAAAAGGGATGATTTGGTTGGACGTACAAGCATTGTGTTAATAATTTCCCAATGATTGTTCAAATTCATCCACTATTTCTTTTACTTCGAAGTAGTGGAGAGAAATAAGCAACTCATAGTACCTGTAATGCGCCTATGGGGGTCGAAGATGAGCATCTTCTCAAGCAAATCAACAGCACCAGGTGACATGCTTGGAAATCTAGCAGCGAAGTTTTGCTTTGGATATTGCGGAAGCTGTCTAACATATCTTCTGGCATTGTCACTTCGAAGGAACCCAAGACTCAAATCATCGGGTGAACCTATAAGCTGTTTCAAGGACAAAGAACATTATGTCCAAATCCATCAAGATAAGCAAAAACTCTTGCAGACAGGAAACATATATATTGTCAATGAAGAACCGGCACTAATAAAAGAACATGCAAATAACGATCATGCAGGAACGTGGAGACCTGAATGCATCCGAAATTATGCATTTTGTATACAAAGCAAAATGCATCCGAGAAAAGGCTCCGGGACCGGACGAGCATACGGCTTTGTTTTTTCAAAAAGCTTGGGGAATTGTGGGGGGGGGGGGAGGTGATGGAGGCTGCTCTTTATTTCTTCAATACTTTGGAGCCTTTGAGGGGATTTAATGCAACTTCTTTTACTTTGGTTCCTAAGGTGGTTAATCCTAGTAGCGTTAAGGATTTCCGACCGATCTCGTGTTGTCAAGTTTTTTATAAATGTATCACTAAGGTCAAGGTGTCCCGTTTAACTAAGTAGTTGCCTGTGCTTATTTCGATGAGTCAGTCAACTTTTGTGAAGGGACGGAGTATCACTGATTATGCTCTTCTTGCGCAGGAATTGGTTAAGGAATATGGTAGGAGGGCTTTGTATGCTAGGTGTGCAATCAAGGTAGATCTGCAGAAAGCTTTAGATTTTTTGCATTGGGGGCTGTTGTTTTGTATTGGATCTCCTAGGTTCTCTATGGTTATTAATGGGGGTTTAGAAGGGTATTTTCAGGGTGCTCAGGGTGTCCGGTAGGGGATCCTTTGTCCCCATATATTTTTGTTAGTGATGAATATTTTGTCCAGGATGTTGGATGTTGCAGCAGCCAAGGGTGTGTTCCAATTTCATCCTAAGTGCAAACGGGTTGGCATTACTCATTTGAGTTTTACCGATGATTTATTGATTTTTTCGAAAGGGAATATGGACTCCGTGGTGGGTATTACGTGTGTTTTAGAAGAATTTTACAAAGTTTCTGGTCTGCAGTTGAATCCTTTAAAAAACGGCCATATACTCTTCGGGTATGAGTGATGAGGAGTTGCTGCATATTCGTGATATCACTGGGTTTAGGGTGGGGCAGCTTCCTGTCCGATATCTGGGGGTTCCGTTGGTCACTAGGAAGCTTACTGAGCGGGACTGTGCTCCTCTTTTGGAAAGGGTTGCCTCTCGGGTCAGTGGCTGGTCAGCTCTGTTTTTATCATATGCCGGGAGGTTGCAGCTCATTCAGGGTGTTTTATATAATATTCAGGCATACTGGTGTAGGCATTTTATTCTCCCAAAGGCGGTTGTCAAGCGTCTGGCTCAGTTATGCTCGAGGTTTTTTTGGAAAGGACGGGATCAGCAAGGTCAGGGAGCCAGGGTTAGCTGGGAGCTGATATGTAAGCCGAAGGATGAAGGGGGGCTGGGGCTTCGTGAGCTGGACTCGTGGAATGTTGCTAGCATCGTTCAACATGTTTGGGCTTTGGTGGTAAGGGCTGATTCGCTTTGGGTGAAGTGGTCAGAGGCTTATGTGCTCAAGGGGAGGTTGTTCATGGAGTTCCCTATCCCGAAGTCCAGTAGTTGGACTTGGAAGAAGCTATGCTCAAGCTGTGGCTGTTCAGTTTGTGGATCAAGGCTTGGGATGTTGGAGGGGAATTGGGAAGTATCAAGTGAAGTTTGACAAGCTATTCAAAGGAGGCGGGCAAGGGTGGATTGGGTAAGTCTTCTTTGGTTTCCTCTTCCAATTCCTAGAAATGCTGTTTTTGTTTGGTTTGCGTTGATGGATAGATTGCCAACTAGGGATAGGTTATTGCGATGGGGGATAGAGGTTGAGGGAAGCTGCTGCTTTTGTGGGGGGAGGGGGGTGGAGTCGAGGGACCATCTATTTTTTGGGTGTGGCTTTTCCAGGGATGTGTGGAGAGGAGTTTTGGATTTATGTCAGGTGTCGAGAGGGGTAGGTACTTGGGCATATGAGGTTATTTGGACGATCGCAAAGCTAAAGGGTAAAGCGTTCGTTTCGATTCTTCTAAGGATTGCTTGGAGTGCTTATATTTGCCATGTGTGGAAGGAGAGGAATTTCGGGATATTTGGGGGAGCTCAGAGGACTGCGCTGGAGCTGATTGGGGTGATTAAGGATGAGGTTCGGTTGCGTTTATAGGGGGTTGCTATTTGCTCGGGGGAGACAAATGATAGGTTGTGTATAGCTTGGGGTATTGCTAGATAATTTTTTAGTTAGCTTGTCCTGTTTGTTTTGCTGGCTGGATAATTTAGTAGTCTTTTGGGGTGCTTTGTTGATAGTTGTAGCAGACTGTGCTCTCTTTTTGTGTAATGAATTTTTTTGGCATTAATAAAAAATAAATGCATCCGAGAACCTATATAATGAAAGGGTCAACAGCAATGGACCATCCAGAGAGCCTCTGGCAGTTTTTTCGAAGATTGTAGAAAGCATACCTCTGTGATAAGCCTCAGCTGATGCACGTAGTCTTTGCCAGGGAAGAGGGGTTGTCTAGTCATGATTTCACCGAGTATGCAACCCACCGACCAAATATCGATTGCAGCAGTGTATTCAGAACAATTGAGAAGCAATTCTGGTGCCCGGTACCAGCGAGTAACTACGTACTCTGTCATAAAATCAGTTTCGGATGTAGTCCTTGCAAGCCCAAAATCTCCAATTTTAAGGTCACAATTCGCATTCAGAAGCAAATTACTGGGCTTTAAATCACGATGCAAAACATTTGCTGAATGTACATATTTCAGCCCTCGTAGAATCTGATATAGAAAGTACTGCAAGAGTAGCAGTGCAGAATCAACAATTGTTTCAGCTTCTAAGTTGCTAACAGAAAACGGATAACGTTTCTATCCAAGTATATTTAATCCAACAGCAAGTATTTGATACCAACCCGACAATGATCATCTGTCAACGATTGGTTAGATCGAATGATTTGATGAAGATCAGTTTCCATGAGTTCGTAAACAATGTAGACATCATTAAAGTTCTCCTTTAGTGGAGGCCGTATGATGTCTTTGATGGCGACCACCTGAAGAAGAAAAGGAATCTCATGTCATTAGCACCCGTATACAATTACGGGTCGATTTACATGAACAACATGTGAACGACAGAGCTAAGAGAACTCACATTCTCATGATCCATGTGACGAAGAAGCTTGATCTCTCGCAGAGTCCTCTTGGCATCAATCCTGTTGTCGAAAGCGTTCCCGATTTTCTTGATAGCAACCTCCTCCCGCGTCTCGGAATTCAAGGCAGCACTATGAAAAGGGAGGAGCAACAATGGCATCTTAGCTCGATATGGTTAATAAACTTATAGAGGAGTAAGCCTAATGAACAGAATTTTAGCTTCCTTTCAACCTCCTCAGGCAGCAAGTTGAGCTGTAAATTCATTTACTTCAACTGGGGCCTAAATTCGGCAGCTTAATTTCATTAGAAGCAAAACACAGCTGAATGTGCTATCGAAAGCAAGTCAAGAGTTCACTCATCTCACTCTCAATCAAAAAACACAGGGCTTAGAAGTATCAAGGTTCCGTCAAAACATGTAAACAACTTACTCGCAAAGCTATTTCATACCTTAAATTATCAAAAAACTATCATGTGAAACTTCAAGATGAAGATAAACCCAAATCATATCTTACCAGACAATCCCATTAGCACCGCGGCCGACGGGGCGAATGGGAGGGACGTATTTTCTGGAAACTTCGAATAAGCTACCATAAACGTTGTACTGAACGTAGCGTCCACCATGAGTTGGTATGCCTTTGATGCTGTGATCGCCTGACCAGATGCTGGGCTCTATCGACATGCTTTCTGGATCCGAATTTGAGATAACCCGGATCAAACTCGAAAACGCGAAGAGACCTTTTGCAGTGATAACAGCTCAAATTCAGAGAGAGGAATAAAAAGGGTAAGGAAATGGGTTCTAGATTTTGCGAGAGCGTGTTGGTAGGTGTAAAGTAGTGTTTTTCTTCCTTTGTTCTTTTCTAAAATTTTCTCTTTGGTTTTACCAGTAATTCTCATTTTCTCTGTCTCTAAATTTCTAGTCATGTGTGAACATTTTGAAGTGGGAAAGCTCAGTCTTCTCGTGAAGACTTCACCTTTCGAATAACACTTTTTTTTTTTAATTTTAAGGTACAACTACTTAATATAAGGGTAATAAAATATGCAATCGAAAACATTATAGAAAATATAATAATTTAGATTACGCGTAACTTAAATATTAACTTTTTTTTAATATTTTTCGAATGCAAATCTTCTTAAATATTAATAATATTTTAGGTTACAATCAAAAATTTAAAATGTTATATTTTTTATAATATTTTTTGTTGAACTGAAAATGTTATATTATTTATAACAGTTTCGATTATGTCTTTTCTTTACTTTATATTAAGCTTATATATAGTAAAATCTCCCCTTTTTATGACTTTGCAAGAAATTGTAAGGATTCTTTACAGGTTCTAAAATAATATTAATTTCCCACAATAAATTTGGAATCTGTTCTGCATTTTGGCATTTTCACTGTATAAGCCTATAAGATATACTTTCTTGTCTAAAGCTTGTCATAAACAAAGTTATTCGGAAAGAAGAAGAAGAAAAAGGTTGACATTCTCGTGTTCATATTCAAATACCCTTGGGTTTATATTTCAACTAAGCTCGACGTAATATCAAACTTTAAAACATTTAAATCTTTAACATTGAATTTCAAGTTGTGTATACATTTTAATATTAAAACATTAATATTGAAATACAACTTAAAATTTAAAATGTTTTATGTTTAATGTTAAGATCGATGTCCAACTTGAAATTGATATGATTTTTTTTTAAATTATTAGATAAATAAAAACTGATAATTGAAATTATTTTTTCATTACTTTAATATTCAAATTAATATTTGCAAAACAAAACATGTGAACATTTCTACAAGATTTGTCAAAGTCTTCATGGTCAATATTCTTCATTCCAGAGTTCTATAGAAAATCATGTCAAAGAAACTACTGGGTCAAGTCTATTCGAATTAAAATAAAACATTATAAATCGTATAATTTACGATGAAGCAGAATATCTCATGGCTTTCAAGATCAAAGCATGCCTGTGATGTCATTGATATATGTGGTCTGGCTCTGTATTTGCCACAAGTTGCTTCCTAATCCCTAACGTCGTCGTTTAATTCAATATTTTACTAATGATTAAATTAATAACTGATTAATTTTTTTTAAAAAAGTATTTTTTGTGACATGATAAAATATGCCTCTTACATACGTCTTGCATTTTCGACATTCCGCCCAACCATAACTCGTAGTTCCACAACCATTGAACCAAGAGCCAGCCAACGCTTAATAATAGCATCCAAGTTGGCTCGAGTCTTTTGACTGAAAAGCTATGGTCAAGGGCCAATCCACCTCATGGACGGTGGTCAGCCCATGAACTATTCTATCATACCATAGAATAGTACAAAGAATATCCCTTTCCCGCTTCACCACAAGTTGCAACTGCGACAATACTATCCACAGATTTAACATGCAAATCACAATATCACCAATATTGTTTTCCCAGTTTCATACGACTACAATAGATGCAACCCGAGGATCTTTTCTCAGAATTCAAGCCTGGGATCATTATAATACTATCCAATTTGCATGTCCACCTAATTTTTCACATAAAAAACATCCATACGGTTTAAGGCTGAGAAAAACTGCACAGAATTTATACCTCTTTTGGGAGCAAACACTAACGCATGCTATACATGTCAAGAATAGCCTGACCTGCAAAGGGAAAAGAGATTAGGAACACCGTAATAACGGATATCCTAGGGAAATGATGATCGATACAAATAGGAAGCAATCGTTTGCAAATAAATATTGGCCCTTTATATAGCATATGACATAGGATGGTCCGAATACATGACAGCAAACTATTTTAGTAACACTGACACACATCTTACAACTCACACAACACATACTTTCTTTACTCAGACAAGAATGTACATGGCTACTAGTTAGAAAACAGAAGGTCTCATACCTAAACCATCTGTATACAGAAGAATTTAGCTTCGATACATTCATGATTCACCTTGCAACTTGCTCGTCAAGATTTCTTCCTGTGACTGATTTGGGGACAGCACAACCTGCTCTTAGATCACAAAGCAAAGCATCACGCCCAGTCAAAACTATTTTGAAAAAGCCATCTACTACCATTGAAAGATTATCTAAACCTTGCGATAGTTTCTCTGCTGTATTCCTCATATCTGAAACAGAATTCTTGAATGTTTCACCTTCAGAAGGACTAAACCCATCTTGAAGGAATGGATACAATTTCTTGGAACAAGCATCGACGGCATGAAGTTCTCTAAGAACTGTAAATTCTCCGCAAGAAAATATATTTCTAATTTCTGTATTAACAGTTGTTTGCATATCAGAGAAAACTTGTTCCCATGGGAGCATAGCATAAACATGCAAATCTAACAAATTTTTGGTAGAACCAGAGAAAGCTGAAGCAAAGACACTACAGATATATGTAGTCACCACCTTAGCTCCATACATAGCACGCATCAAAACCTTCCCTTTAGCAGAGTTCTTCACCTTAGGCAAGCTCAATGACTCCACAAGTTTGTCCAGTATAGGACTACAACCTTCAAGTCTGGGATTTTTTGAACGAATGTGCTGTCTCCAGCTATCAAGTGAGGAACATGCCCGCAGGAATTGGTTCGGGGAGTCGGACTCCAACTTATGGAAGACACACTGAAGTAAGAGATGGCCTTGGTTGAGCCTTGTAAGTTCAGACGTAAAAGCAATACTAATATCGAGCAACTTTACACTTATCTCCAGGTACACATCTATCCATTTCTCATCCCAATCAGTCACAGGGAGCTCAAGATTGGTTATCAGGTTTTTTATGTCGCAGTGAATCTCGGAAAGCAACTCCATTGCTAATTTCATCCACGACAAGCTAAGGATGTCATTCTTGTCTTTAGGCACAAGTTTTTGCAGCCTCTCTGACAAGGCAGCCTCAAACGCATTCAATAAAGAAAGAAGTCCCGGAGGTAACTGAGAACCCTTAGGAGTACGGAAAGGATTTCCAAAATGGAAGAAAGGGCGGTGTGGTTCTTGAGGACGGCTCATTTTTTATGTATTTACTACAACATCCAGAAGAACAAAGTCAATCATATCACAAATAAAATACTTGATAAACTAAATCATGTTAATAATTCAATGGATTGTGACAGACATCAAACACCCCAAAGTTTCCATAAGTAATCATCTTTATAGTTTATACTATGCAAGCATGTTCATAACTTTAAAAGGGCATCATCCCCATAATATTTACAGACCATTAATTCCACCATCCGACAATAAAGGAATTCAATCCTATACCTTTGACCAATACCATACACAGCAGATCTAATCGCATAATACTTAATAAGCATAAAAACAATTGGATTAAACAAATAGCTGATGGCATAAACGACCATATATTCAAACACCAAAATATAACAAATACATGCAAAAGAAACGGTGTAACGATAAATCATGACAAATATATCTAGATCTCCTAGGTAGCCTGATTTTCTTTGTTTATCCATCCTATCTTGTCTTTATTATACATCTACATGATTTCCTCCATGAATACTACGAGAAACTTTATACAGAGAAACAACCAAGGCATTTCTACACAAAATAAAATAATTCTAAACCAAAAAGACTTCAAGGAAACCCTGAGAAATCACATCTTTAAAAGAAAAGCGTCAAAATCGAAATTCAAAACTCAGAAATCACATAAACTACAGCAGATCTGATGGATCTGAAACAAAAACAAAAACACAAGCATCCAGAAATATAAAGTAAAACAAATACAGAAGTAAACACAAAAAAAACTTACCTGAAGTTTAGATACTTAAACCAAACGAGCGATTAAACCAACCAGAAGATGTTATCCACGGATCTGTTAATAACGAAAGATAAAAACAAAATTATAAGCTAAATAGGTTTCAAACAACTAACCTCAAAAATGAAGAAAAAAATCGCAATTTCAGTAGAATCACAGACAGAAAAGCTAATTGGAAAAAAAAAAGGAAAATAGAGAGAATTTACCTGACTTGATACTGAATGGAATTTGGAAATTTCGAACAAAGCTGCAAATGCGAGGTGTATTTTCCGGCTTAGTTGAAATTTTATCTTTGGGAAGTAGTTGAGGATGAGGAGTGTTGATTCAATCACTGCCTGTTAGGCATGGTCGGTCACAGAATATATACGTGTAGGACAATGAATGGGGGAAATAAAGAATTCGGGAACGGGCTGGAAGAATCCCTTACCACCTATTTTGTTGCTTTTTGCTCTTTTTGTCAAATTTGTTGATATTATCAAAGGGCTTTTCAATGGGCCACCCGCCAGACGTCAGCCCTACTTCCACTTGTATAAAACCGCGCAAATCCAACGGATATAAATGAGCTGCATGATGCAAATGCTTCATGTTTCATAGTTAGCTGCAGGCTTTAGCAATAACCAATTTTTAAAGGTTTAATACTCAATTTACCTTTTAAAATATAACTTATTAGAAAAACTAATTATGTTAAAAATTTAAAAATGATTTAATATTAATTAATTAATAAATAAATTTATTATATCAACGAGAACCATAATTATCTCAACTGATTAATTAAATTTATTATCCTACGTTTTTAAATTAAAAAATTGAAATAGTAAAAAAGTAAAAGTAATAATTAAAATATGGTACCCTCCATTTTCCAGGCTTAACTCCAAAAATATGTAATTAATTATTGTTACCTTTTACACTTTTGTGCATCGCTTCACAAATAATCAAAGAGTAAACGTGAAGATTAAGGGGGTGGAGTAGGGTTCTTTGTTTGATATATTTAAACACGGCATCTAATCTTTTACTTCACTTTTTCCACTAGAAAAGATGGCGATTGATTGGTACTGTGAGTTGCTTACTGCTCCGTGATGCATTGCCGCACGTTGTTTCATCACTTGAACGATGGAATTATAAGCAACAATCTTCGCATATAAGAATCATCCAATTATTTCAGTATCTCGTCAGCTTGTGAACGTCGTCCCCTGCTGTGGTCGCATATAAGAATCATCAATTGACAGCACACTGTCTATTATTAATATTACTGTGTTTAGTAATTTAATACTTTGTTCAAACATAAATGGCCGCAAACCCCACATATCTTAGCCGATATAAGCAAAGTTTTTTGAATTCAAAATATAAATTAAAGAAAGCCTCGGTTACTTTGCTAATGTAGTTTAAAAACTTAAACTTGGATTTGGCACACATACTTAGAGACATTATTTTATATATTTTTATGGTCTATATTTGTACAAATGCATACTGTATATTACATGTGGGGGGGAAATGCAAACCAAACATAAAGAATAATGTCAGATTATTGCTAAAGATACAACAAATCATCTCTAACCTAATTTCGAACCACTGTTAGTCGATTGTCGATCGCCGGAATGTGAATCCGAAGGTTCTCTTGCAGCCCGGCGTTCCTGCAAAATGAGATAAAGGTAAAATAATACAAGTGGAAGCTCCCTTTCAGACGTCAAAATTGTTAATATAGTACAGAAGCGGTGATTACATCGCGGAAGAGCAGATCATCAGCTTCGAGCATATGGATAACATGCCCCATTTTCGGCCTTTTCGTCGGATCAGGATCGACACATTTGAGAGCGACCAATAGGGCACGTTTGAGCGCTTTTGAAGCAGGCATCTCGGGTAGCTTGGGATCAACTACTTCTTCGGATTTTCGGTTTCCAACCAAGGTTTTTAACCATTCCACCAAGTTCACCTGCAAATGTATATTCAGTCATTTCCAAGTTAACAACAGTAGGATCTGTCACATTAGATTAGTGGAAGAAAACGAAGGAGAAGTTAATAATAAGCCTAACCTCTCCTTGAGGCCGGCTATAATCGACCGGACTTCTCCCGGAAATAATCTCCATAATAAGTATACCGAAGCTATAGACATCACTCTTCTCATTCAGCATGCCAGTACAAGCATATTCCGGAGCAACGTAGCTGGAAAATATGAAAGATAATGAAGTGATTTCAGTGCACATGAAGCCGTTCATAACTTTTAACCTTAATTCTTAAGTGCTAAGATTGTGAGATGGAAGTTAACCGACCCAAATGTTCCCATCACTCGAGTTGTCACATAACTCCGTTCAGAACACAAGAGTTTAGCGAGCCCAAAATCGGAAACCTTGGAGTTCCACTGGCGATCAAGTAGGATGTTGCTAGATTTTACGTCCCGGTGAACAACCTTCGGCTCGAGACACTCATGAAGGTAAGCTAAACTGCAATAACAACACGAGGAACACGGCCAATGAGAACCGGCACAAATGAACAGAGAATCGACACACAGTTCTACTTGAAACCAAAAGGATAGAATTCTAAATGTACCCTCTTGCTGTTCCTAGTATGATATTCATACGGATATCCCACGTAAGAGGACTGACATCCCCAACATCACCGTGCAGCCACTGTTCCAAATTCCCATTGTCAACATACTCGTATACGAGCATCCTAAACAGCACAAAAAAGAACAGATACTAAGTCACTTTCTCTCTACAGTTTACACTAATCAAAGAACTCAAAAATGGAAGATGATTGCAGTATACCTATAAGCACCTTCAACACAGTAACCAAGCAATCTCACAAGATTCTTATGTCGCACACGCCCAATTGCTTCCACTTCTACCTTAAATTCCTTCTCGGCTTGACCCCTGAAAATCGAAGATTCAAATGATTCGGGAAAAAAAAGAATATTCATTTCTTAAAATGGGATAAGTAAATGAAGAAGGGGTACTTGTTGTTGAGCAAATTTTTGACAGCAACATTGGTTCCGTCAGTCAAAACACCGTGATAAACAATTCCATAGCCGCCTTCGCCGATCACATTCTCTTCGCACAATCCATTGGTAGCTAACTCCAGTTCCCTCAACGTATACCATCTTCCCCACCCGAGATGAGACACTTCCGGCCCCACATTCCCACTCCCGAACGACGTTGTCTCGCTCACGCTCGTGTGCCCTTTGCTTTCCCCACTGGAGAATGCCAATATGTGCTCCAGTTTCCCCGTGTCCACTTGGATCTCCGGCACCTGCGGGGCCTTATGTTGGTGATTAGCTTCCGCCGGCGGGTGGTGCTGGTGGTGAACTATTTCTTGGATCTCTTTGGAGACTAGCGGCGTGGGGACCAAGTGTCGATGTCTGCGAGATTTGCGGCGGGTTGTCAGGCAAAGCGAGAGAAGGAACAGAGTCAAAACTATGAATGAACCAAGAAAAATCCCGATCACTACCCATAGTTTTAACCCGAAAATCGACGTCGGCTTCGATAGCTCCGTGTTCACGAACGCCGCGTCGTACACCGACATCCTGAGATACCGGCGGTATTAGCTTCACCGGAAAGTAACGTTTTGACTGAAATGAAAATGGAAAGGAAGATTTAGAGCAAATGGAGAAGAGAAACGGAAAGAGAAAGGGTACTTCCTTCTTTTTTATGCTCTGCGCCACTTGCGACACTGAACACTTCTTTTATTACCTTATCTCTAACTTTTTAAATAAGCTTGTCTACTTGTCTTAGCCGGACCGGAGTCGGAGATATATTATATATGTATAAACTCTAAATGACGAGATTGTCCATGTTTCTATGTTTACAATTAATTCTGGTTTTAGTCCTCTATTATGCTTTAAAATCTTGATTTAATCCCTCAATTTTTTTATGTTACTTAGGTTTGACTCCCGATCATATAAATTATAGAAATTATATAATGACCTCTTCTTACCGCTTCACTCATGCTCTCAATAAACTAAAATCATTTATATTATTTTTTTCATATTATCATTTCTACATATTAATCTTCACTAATTTGTTTTATAACATTTTTATAACTAGTTATCTATAAATTATAGTTCAATTGTATCGATGCTATTAAAAATGATGAGATCATAATTAACATAACGGAAAGATTTATGTTACATCTTTTATTAAAGAGAAAATAACCTCAGTGACCAAAAATCCCATATAATATACGATTTTAACCAACTTTTTTCGGATTTGCCAAAATAACCAACAAAATCGCAATGCGATCACTAATTCGCAACGCGATCTCCATTATCGCAAATCAGTTTCCAGATTCGCAACGCGATTATGACTATCGCAATGCGATTTTCCAATTTCGCGTTGCGATTTTCCCAATTCGCAATGCGAATAAGTAAATCGCAATGCGAATTTGGAAAATCGCAACGCGATACTGACTATCGCAACGCGATAATACAAAATCGCAACGCGATACTGACTTTCGCAACTCGATACTTAATTTCGCAACTCAATACTGACTTTCGCAACGAGATAATACATAATCGCAATGCGATTTTCAAAGCGCCATTAGTATCGCAAAGCGTATTTTATTTTCAAATTCCAAACACGAATATTAATATATTGAAACACTGAACCGTCCACAGTATATCCCGTAATCGCAACTCATAACCTAAAATCTAAAATCACAACTCAGTCCCATCTCCATCTCTCACTCTCTCACCCATCTCCGACGAAATCCGTCCCCATCTCCGGCGAAATCCGTCTATCTCCATCTCTCAGAGCCACCCTCACAATCAGAAATGGAAAATCAACCAAATCAACCACCGAGGGTTAGTTTTTTTAATTATTTTCTTTTTGAAATTTTTGCATTATTATTAGGTTTTTCATATTGAAATTGATGATAAGTTTACTGGTAATATCAATAATAGATTAACCATTTCACTTAGATTGCTTATTAAATCAACCGAGAATCGCAACGACAAAATCGCAACGCGATTTTATTCTCTCGTTGCGATAGTCAAATTCGCGTTGCGATTGTCATTTTCGTGTTGCGATTTTCATTTTCAGAAACTATTCTTCTTCTGCAAATTGAAACTTGAATGAATTGCATTACTTCAACCAAAAAATAAAGACAAATAAGAAATTCACAGTGTTGCAAATTTAAGTTTGAAGAATAAACTACTACTCTTTATGTTTATTATTGTTTTTGGTATATCTTCACAGTGTAGTTTTTGGTATATCTAACTTAGTATGTTTATTGTTTTTGTAGAACTTTTATTCGGCTCAATTGACCTTAAGAAATAAAGTCAGCCTGGCCAAAACAATTGCGTCGAAGCTTTCACCTGCATA